GGTTTTGCAAAAAGTTTTTTGTCTTTTTGTGAAAAAATCAAAAAAAAAATGAAGCTCAACTTCCAAAACTCATGTAATTGGTGATTGTAAAATGTTTAAAAGTGTGCGTAACTTTTATTGCACATATCATTGCTTTGATGCAAATTGTATTTAACATGAGGGAAAATTAAATAAATGATGCAATAGAAAATTTTAAGAGAAGTAAACGATGACAACCATGAGCTTCAGGAAGGATAATAAACAGTTATCCTGATATGCCAAATTATGGACTATTTTCATACCCGATCACGGTAGCATCTCTGTTCTCTCTCCCCCCTCTCTATCATGCACCTGAGTTCTGATTCTCTCCACTCTTACCACCCCTAAGCTATTGGTTTGTATTGGATCATTTAGTCGTAAATCAAGACACATGAAATCAACTTCATCATCCTACAATTCCATCAAATTTTTGAAAGAAAAACCAATCTATTTAAAAAAAACAAAAAATTTTCAATTTAAATAATAGACCTATACAACAGAATTTGTCATAAATAAATTACAAAAAATTTAAATATTTATGCTTTAAAATTAACAAACATGTTTTTGGACTTATTTTTTAAAATTTTTCAAACACATTTTGTTCGATCCAAATGTGTTGTGTAGTTTTTGTTGTTTTCTTCTTGAGTGTAAAAAGCTCCGTACAAACCCATGAAGCGAGTTTATACTCTTTGTACTAACTCAATAATGAGAAATAGGTTAAAGCTTCACATACTGTCAATCTCATCAGCAGACAATGCACAAATCTGATGAATCTATTAATCATGATGAGAAGTATGTTAATAGCCTGGAACATCAATTTCACATTAATTCATATATATTGTATATATTAACCTACCCTTACAAAAGATGTTATGCCTTACATTGAAGAAATATGCATTCATGGGATCAATTAAACACTTTATAAAATTATGGATTTGAATTGTATTTGGAAAAAGTAAAAAAAGGATTTGTATCACTATGAGCTGAACTGTAGATACCTTCCACTTGCCAATCGGTCTGCAAGCACATCAAGCAGAGATATTTCAGCAATTCGGAAGCTCTGCTTTCAAATCCCTTGATCGCCACATATAAACTATCACCAGGTTCCATAGCATAAAAAAAAGGCAAAACTAGAATCTTCTCTTAACCACTACTGATCAATTCCTTTGCTGCAACACCAGAGGGAACACAATCAATTATTACATAATTGCTCAAAAAGTTTTGTAAATAGGCTTGTGTGAAATCTGAGACGCACTGCTCAAGTAAGTAAGTATATTAGTTCAAAGTTTGCTTGCAAAACTAAATAAAGTTTCCAAATGTGTTGAGTCAGATTCTCAGACATGCTTTAAACGAGCCAATTCAATGTTTAGCTTATTTGTCGATACAGTAAATAAAAAACTTATCAACCCGTCAAATAGTAGATTGTTCCAAACTCTGGGATCTTAAAACTTAATACTTCCAAAAAAAGAACATGCCAACCGAAAGAAGCAAAGTTCGGAATGCTCATAAATCTTGACTCTCTAACTGAAAGAAAATGATATTATCAAATGTAGACAACAAATAAGGTCACTTAGTCGAAAGGCAAGCCAAATTTTTTAATGAGCTTAACAAAATTGGAACAAACAAAGGGCATAAGTTTATTAGTTCTTTGTTATTTTTTGGAGACCAATATCCGCAAAGCTAGTAACCTACCACGCCTCCTTAGAGGTGCAACTCTTACTCTTGCACATTTTGAAGACAAAACTTACCAAAAGCTTAGCTGTTAGATGACCAACTGTACCAAAAGCCTTAACCTGTTAGAGAGAATCCCAACAAACAATATCAAGCATACGTTGTCAAAATCGGGATTCGTATCGTGAATCGAAATGGTCTTGTACCGAATCGAATCGAATCGAATCGAATCGAATCGTGAATCGTAAAGATTCGGTCACTTTTTCTAAATTACTTAAAAACATATATCTGCACATTTAGATGTTACATATATGCTATGAATATAAAATATTTAGACTTAAATCAATAAAAATGTTATTTTGAATAATACTTAAAAACATATATCTACACATTTGGGGTGAATGTTGAATGAGCACATACACTGAAATAAAAATAAAAACAAAAGGCTAAAGAATTTCAATGAAGTCAGTTTCAATTGAAATTATGAGGAAACAAGTGCAGTGAATTACCTCTCTGGGCATAAGAGTTTTTGGAATCACTCTGCAAAAAAATAAATAATGGAGTTTATGAGCGGAGAAGAGAGAGAGAGAGAGAGAGAGAGAGAGAGAGAGAGAGAAATTACCCTAAGACGTGGCGGCCACCATCATAGACAGCTTGGGAGATTAGACCCATCAACCCAATGCTCCCTCCTCCATACCCAAAAAAAAAATTATATCAATTACCATAGATATTATTAAAGTACTACATTGAATTTAAGTTAACCATGTGAATTCATGCAAGAAAGTCACAAATTTAGTTGGTGGATAACGGTGTCAATTTCTTGTTTTTTTGTAAGAAGAATAAAGTTTTTCTTTTGTAAAAAACAAAAAAACTTGCTTGGTGTATAAAAATATTTTGAAAATAAATAAAAGTAAGTAACAAATAAACATGTTTGATGGGTTACCAGAGGTGGCGGAGAGTGGCTTAATGTACTTCTTCACAAACGCCACAAACTGCTTCTTGTCAAAAGCAGGTTGCTACTGCAAATAATAACGAATTTCATGTTTCAAATAGCGCAGAAAATATATGAAACGGCTGATATGACAGATGACTTCAGTTACCTTAACACCTTCTGCAGAATGATTAGCACCAGTATCTACATTTAATGCTTGAACAACCCACTGCTACACATCAGAATCACGAATATGTAAATGGCATGGTTATAATCTGTAACACATGAACCATATGCAAAAATCACCGTCACATTCTTCATCTAGGAACACCAACACTTCTAAGAAAGTGGTGTGTTGGGTTGGAAATCATATTAGACATCAATGACACTCGTTAGACACTTCCTAACATTTGACGAACACATGTCTAAGGAGTAATCTGCAAGCAACAGGGGGAATTGTGTTGCAATTACAATAGTTGTCAGCCCAGATGAGAAATAAACACCTTTTTTTTTTAGCTTTTAGGGTGTATTTTTAGTTCAAGATCCATCCTACTACTCGGAACCAAAGAATTAGTAGATCTATTCCGGTCAAATTGGGACTGAGCAAGGGTTTTGAACTTAAAATCTATGATCTGTTCATTGAGTCAATTCCCAGATTATAATTTCATTGCAGCAAGTGATTGAGTTCAGTAGTTCCCCATATATATTTTATCGACTCTAGAACATAGTAGAAAAGAAATTTTCGTGAATAGCGGGTGACATACTACATTTATATTTGAGGGTAGTTTAGTGTTTTGGCTTCACTTTTAATAGGGTTAAGTTCTTGTATTATATATGGAAGATTAAGCAATAATAGGCTAGCAATACTGGATATATACATTAAAGGGCAACACCAACCAAAAAAGATACTAAAAACCCATGGACTTGATGGCAGAACCTAAAAGGTTAGAAAGTAGAAGTATTTATTTGATGATATACTAATAACAAGGAGTTTGGAAGGTGATACTAATAACATGTGGAATACAATGACAGAATGCATTAATAGAGCTCTTCTCGTCTCTTTTTTGCATGTTTAATCTTTGTTAACAATTACAAATTTGTGCAAGAACATCTTCACACTTGGCCAAGACACAGAACTTGTCAATAAGAACAGAAAAATGAATGTGACAATGAGAAAGAAGAAAACAAACACAAAGCAGTTATGCAGAAACATGAAATTGTCGAGTCACTTTTCAAAATAAATTAATCAATAACATATGGCGAAGAGAATCTGTTAGTTTCCCCATATTACAAGGCTGGCATTATAGAGAACAAGAAGGTTAAAAAATATAACCTTAGCCAGTCCCTCCCCTTCATTTTCTGCTAGAGCCTTTGTGTTAGCCTTAAAACTTGTCTTGGCAACACTTATTTCAAACCCCTCTATTTCAGCCCTCTCTTTCTCTTGAGGCTGCAAAATTTTAGATGTTAGTCAACTAGAGGTAAATTACAAGAATATGATGGGTAAACTTTTTTATTTCACTACCCAATAAGAACAAAAGAGAGAATAAAAATGCACACATCCCTTTTTATTTATTTTATTCTATTTGTGGGTTTGGTATGGGAATTGGAAAATTTGATATTCACCTCTGTGAGTCCAACCATACTAATTTCTGGGTGAGTGAAACAAGCTGCTGGAATGCCCAAATGGTTGAGCACGTGATCTTTTCCACTGACTTGTTCAACAACTATATGAAGAGAGCAACGCTAATATGCAATAGGTGTAAAATGTAAGCATATAGCCTGAAGTAGCAAATAGCAAGGTAATAACCACATACCAAAAATCCCTTGTGCACTGGCAGGATACGCTCATCTACTAGAACAAAACCCCGCTGTGTCACCACATTGATCTGCAGAAAAACCAATACAACACTTGAAACACATCTTAACAAGATTCTATTGTACCACAGAACACTTAAAAACTACATTATGGGTTTAAATTACAGTCTTCCCCTGTTTTAGATTGTTGACTCAATGACTCTGCTCTGTATTTTTGTTGAAAGGGTTATGGATTACCTGTGAGGGGAGTTTGCACCGAACAGGCGCGCCGAGCTAGTCGTGACTCGACACATCTTTGGGTCATGCGACCGGGCTGTCTCAGTTGAGTGTGGATTGGGCCGAAGTTCCGAATTAGTTCAATTGGGCTGGCCCAAGGTCTGGAGCTTGGACTGAGCTAGTTGTTGAGCCTAGATATTGAACCAAGGTATCTTCGATGATACCTTAAATCGGGCTAGGCCATTCTGCCGTGCACCGAGATCAAGCGGCGAGCACCTTGACAGATGAAGATGGAATTAATGTAGAAGACCGAACTAGTTGATTAGCTCGACCATTGAAGATAATCCAGATTGAGGCCCTAATTCGGTCCTTGATAGACCAGGTTCGACAGAGCATGAGCTCGGTCGAGCTGATATTCAAAGTTCTGTTAGGACCGGATAGGTAGCACGATCTTAAGGGCAGATTGTAGCGTCGTGCTAAATATAGTACGGTATGAATTGCTACGTGGCATGATTGGATTATAGAAAGGAGATTCCGCCACCCATAGGCGTCAATACCTTTAGGCAGTTTCACCATTCAGTGTTTGGCAGTATTTATACTTACACGTGGAAGAAGACAAGAAGGGAGCATTTCCACGCGTCCAAGGAAGGACGGACAGACAGGTGCGCTCAGAAACTATATAAACGGCGTAGCGCCTCCATGCACAGGCCTGGCATTCTTGTTATCAGAGCTACCTACCTCTTTGTCTCTTCTCTCTTTTTCTTTTCTCTAAGTGTGCTAACTTGATCATCGAAGGGGTTTTCTAGCTGCACACCCGTCGGATAGCTCACCGTCTTTCTGTTCTCAAGTTAAGCGACGTTACTCAAAACTTAGACACGAGGAGTATGGAGAGCGACGAATATTTCCTTCTTGTACATTACTTAATTTTTTGTATCTCATTTTACTTATTATGAATCTAACTACTCTTTTGTACCATAGAAAAATCTCAAAATATTTATTTTGTTTTGTGAATTTAGTGTCTTTATGAATTAAGTGTAATTTTCCTCTTTAACTACAGCTCAAAGGCCAAGCTTATTTAGCCAATGTGTTTTAGCTGTCACCTTACCGTAAACAAGCTAAAAAGCCTTACTTTAGCTTTTTTTAGCTTCTACATAATATATCATTGTGCTGCAATAGATACACCAAATTTTCTTCCAAACTTTGAAATAGCATTTTTTTTATTACATAAACATACTATTCTTTCAAATCACTTCTCTAATATCACTTATTTATATAAATAAGTGTTCGAGATTTGTTTCACATTGTGTTTCTTAAGCCATTCAAACTTAATTCATGTTGTTTGGAGGTCTCTCTACCTAATGACAATTAGTTTTGAGTATGATGTCTCAAACTCTAACGTGAACAAGGACTCTAGATGTGGGGAAATGAAGGATGGACGATCGACGGTGGTCTTCTCTTTTCCTCAACAGCAAGATTGAAACAATTAATGGGACATTAGGTTTTCAATGTTGAATTTGACTTCTTGTGTCAGTTGGGTGACTTTCCAGAAGGCGAGAGCTCCAACATAGAGTTAAAGGGTTTCTATGGTTAAAACACATGAAGAGAATATAGAAAATAGATTGAGTGCATGATAATGGAGACAATGAAGCAAACAAGATTTGACTCTAAGATCTTTTGGAACTATAGCTCTAACACTATCTTAAATAATTATTTTACAAGTTTAAACTATTAACAGATGAGTTCAACAATAAATATCAAACTATAAAAGACACATTACTCATTTTGGATTCAAAAATCAAAATTCTAAAAAACTTACCAAAAATGATTCAAACATATCTAGTAAATTTACCATATTCTTGAGACACTTGGGCTTAGTTGGTTGGCTCTCAACTGGCCATACCCTTGGAAGGAGGTAAAAGGTTAGATGAAGGAATTCAGTCAAGTTGCCTAGCAAATGCGCCAAGTGACCACTCTTACACACCAAAAATCAGTCAAGAACATTTTCTCTCCATTGAAATTCTATTTTTCCATTAGATAACTTAATGTTTATGACATGAACTAGATGCATATTGTGTCTCTACAAATCAATAGAATATATTCCATCATGGACATCTAGATAATGAAGATGACAGGTGGATGAGATAAGAAAAAAAAGTCAAAAACAAGAGAGAGAGAGAGAGAGAGAGAGGTGAAGCAAGTTGATTGGCTATAAATAGATCTTTGAAACTAGGTATTGGCATCCAATTTGAGCATGAAAATATGAGAGTATTAGAGGAAGAGAGGCCTTACATGAAGATAAGAGTCTTGTTTGGTAGCCAAGGACGACTTGCCTCGTCCATCAAAGGGGTTGTTCAAGCACACCATATGTTTAAATATTTAGTTCTCTTATCAATACAGAAATATCTCAAAATATAAATGGATAAGATTTTACAAAATTTGTTAATAAGATCTAGTTTTAGAAAATCTTATTTGTTTATATATATTTTGTGTTCAATTCTGTAATGGGTTTATTTCTATACATTGGAACCTCCTTGTTTGGTTTGAGGCAATCTCCTTGGCTAACTGACAGGCACTTCTCTCTCATGCTAGGCCTTCTCTTCTTCACTACAAGCACTTCTCTCTCATGCTAGGCCTTCTCTTCTCTTTTATGCTATGTCAAACAAATTCTTTTTGAATGTGACTTACACCATATCTAATTTAAAATTAAATTTTAGATATTTTTATGAATATATATTTTTGGATACATAGTTTGTTTTTTTGAAAATTCTCGAATAAGCCCAATTTGAACTCAATAAATTAAACTAAAGTTTGAGTGGAGTTTTTTTTTTTGGAACTGAGCTGACTAATTTATTAAAGTTTTACTTTGTTAATTTTTTTTTTTGAAAAAAAAAGAGTATCAAAACAAATAACAACAATAGCCTAACAAATATAAATATTTTTACCAAAATAACTTAACATAACAAACAACTTCGTAACAAACTTAGGAGTCATTTGGCAAGTAATTATTTTAATAAAAAGGTCAAAAATAATAATTAAAAGGTTAAAATGTCAAAAATTTGGCATTTTTTAAGAAGTGTTGCTTGATTCTTGAGATTACGCTTTTGTGATGGGCCAAAAAACAAAGACATAGTTCCTCATTATCAAAAACAAAAAATAAATAACTTGTGCTTCTAAGTTTTCTTTTCACATACTCTACTCATATTTGACTCCTATTAGTGTTACATTATGTGATTAAGAAAGTATCGTTTGATCCTCTGATTTATACTTCTGAGATGGGTAAATGATCCAAACACATTTCAATTTTTTTAAAAAAAATTGTGCTTCAACTTTTAAATGGAAGTGACTTTTAAAATAAATAAATAAATTAACCCTTATGTATAAGGGGAAAAACAAAAATGAGAAGTACAAAAAATAATTATCAATTCATAAAGTATATTAATGCATAAATCATTAATATTTTTATGAGTTTGTAATTAATTTTTTAAAATAATTCTTATTATTATTTTTTTGATATTCCCCTATTTATAATAATTTCTGGTCCGACCAAGCATAATATTCCTTATCCGAAGTGGAGTGAGCGTGTGTGTGTGAGAGAGAGAGAGAGAGAGAGAGAGAGAAGAGAGAGAGTGAGAGAGAGTGAGAGAGAGAGAGGGAGGAATGGCAGCAGTGGCAGCAATAATTCCTTCAATCTCTACCGTGAATCTGCATTTTCAGGCAAGTCTGAAGAAGGGTTTCGGATTAGACTCAACAAGAAGAAGAAGAAGATTGAATTCTCTTGTTAGCATCACTCGAGCCTGCCTCCTTCACTGCAATGCTCCTCTCCTTGAATCTGCAGCCAAGCACACTGTAACATTCTCACTTTCATTCTCTTTTTCCTCATCTGGATTCTATGATCTATCCTATATTGTGATGTTCTTTAACCCAAACCCCAAATGAAAAAAAAAAAAGAGAAAAAGAAAAGTATGCTCTGTTTCTTGTTCATATTATGGGTTTTGTTACAACTAATATTTAGTTTTGTGTGTTTGGTTTAATGTTATCATATAATGCCAAGCACACTGTAACATTCTCACTTTCATTCTCTTTTTCCTCATCTGGATTCTATGATCTATCCTATATTGTGATGTTCTTTAACCCAAACCCCAAATGAAAAAAAAAAAAGAGAAAAAGAAAAGTATGCCCTGTTTCTTGTTCATATTATCGGTTTTGTTACAACTAATGTTTTGTGTGTTTGGTTTAATGTTATCATATAATGCAAATTAAGTTAATATGGTTATAACATCTTTGTAATAAATTATTTTCCTCTTTAACTATGGCTCAAAGGGCAAGCTTATTTAGCCAATGTGTTTTGGTTGTCACCTTACCCTAAACAAGCTAAAAAGCCTTACTTTAGCTTTTTTTTAGCTTTTACATAATATATCATTTTGCTCCAATAGATACACCAAATTTTCTTCCAAACTTTGAAATAGCATTTTTTTTATTACATAAGCATACTATTCTTTCAAATCACTTCTCTAATATCACTTATTTATATAAATAAGTGTTCGAGATATGTTTAAAATTGTGTCTTTTAAGCCATTCAAACTTAATTCATGTTGTTTGGAGGTCTCTCTACCTAATGATAATTAGTTTTGAGTATGATGTCTCAAACTCTAACATGAACAAGGACTCTAGATGTGGGGAAATGAAGGATGGACGATCGACGGTGGTCTTCTCTTTTCCTCAACAGCAAGATTGAAACAATTAATAGGACATTATGTTTTCAATGTTGAATATTGAGAATATTCTCAATGTCAAATTATTTGAACTGCATTGCCTTCTGAAACTAGTGACCATAGTATGGGAATCATGGACATGTTGCTCAATCAGAAATTATTGGTAAATTAAATCCAATTCTAATGCACCATTTGTTTAGGCAGAAAACATTTTCTATATAAAAACTTTTTTCAAAAATGTTTTTTGGAGAAAACATTTTTCTATGTTTGGTGGTGGTGGTGGTGGGATGAAGGTGGTGGTGGTGGTAGGATGAAGGTGGTGGTGTGGTGATGGGGTGGCAGTGACGGTGATGGTTATGTGGTGGTGGTGGATGTGAGAGTGGTGGTAGTAGTGTGGTGATATTGGTAAGAGTTTAGTTCGGAAAATGTTTTCCTCCTTTTAAAGCAAAAAACATTTTCTACCCAAAAAGACTTATTTTCCGTTAAGACTTTTATTTTCTATTATACCAAATTCCAAACACTAGAAAAATACAGAAAGCCCAAACAAACGGAGCGTTGTGGATCCCTTTTCACTCTTCTCTTGATTATCTGCAATTATGTAGGGAGTAGGTAAAGGGCAACTAGTCTATATCTTCGCCTCTTCGGTGTTCTTTTGTAGGTGGATACATTCATTAAAAGTGGCATGGTGGTTGGATTAGGATCTGGCCTTGCTTCATGCATAGCTATACAATATTTGGGTCGGCAACTTCGTGTGGGTGCTATAAAAGATATAGTAAGAATATCCACGTGAGTTCATTCTTTTTATCCGCTATCAAATAAGTTGCCTACTATCTTGACCAATTGAATTGAATAATAAGATAATTCCTAATAATGTAAGAAACTTAATTAGCTGAGCATATCTTAGTAGTTGATGCTATTGCATCTGGTTATATTCTTTTTTTTTTTTGATCGGCAACAAAAGAGTTATTATAAAAGAAGAAAAGTACCAGAGAGAACGAGAGAACAAGGAGTCCTCCAAGAAAAGAAAAGAAAAAAATAAAGACGAACTAAAATCTCGCACTACATATCACACACTGCCTCAAATCTCTAGAAATAAAAAAAGAGTGGAATTCTTTAGTATAATCTCTTCTTTTTTCTGGTCTCTAGAGGTTCAAGGCAACATGCAATTCTTGTGTAATTCTACGCCTTTGTTTTTTTCACTCATTCTAGATAGAACATGTCAATGATTATCAGTCATTCTCTTGACTTGGTGCAAGTTAAAGCCTGTTTATTAGACTTGTTTATTTTCAATCACAAAGTAAGTTTAATTTTCATTGGTGTGATGCAGATCTGTTGGTAGTGCTAGTGAAGCAGCGAAGGCAGGAATTCCATTGGATCACTACCAAGATACTTCTCAAGTGTGCACGATTTCTAAGTATCCAATGACTAGGTTGCATTTTAACTAGTGTTTGTGAGTATTTACATGCTTTAGACAGCTCTATTTGTATCCTAATTTGAAAGCAGACAAAAAAAAAATGTGAATCTGTGTGCTACTTTATTTAAAAAGTAACATATATAAAGATCAATTTAGACAAAATCTTAGGGGAAATGAAAAGGGTGTGCAAATTCCCACTTGAATTTGATAAATTTCTTTTCAGAAGGTTTTCTAGACTGGTCCTATTAAATGACGCCATGAATTCATTGATCACTTGTATGCTTTTTCGTAAACTTTATGCTGTTGCACTTGTCCTTTCACTTGTTATTTTGTAGATTGATTTTGCATTCAACGATGCTGATATTATTGAATAAAGAACACTTATTTCATTAATTGGGCATCAGAGATTGCAAGGGGAGGAATCTATTATTCAAGAGAAGGTGAGTCAAAATATTGTTATTTGTTGGACTCTAGTTATGTTATTTCCATTTTATTTTGATTTCTTGATCAAAACTTTTTGTCTTTCTTTTCCCTCACAGAATATACTCAATGCTGGTGAGAAACTTGTATTCATAGTCACAGAGAAACAATAAAAAAGTGGTCTAGAAGGTTCAATTCCAGTTTTAATTAAATCTGTAAGCTGTCATATGCATTATTGGCATAAATTGCTGGAAATAATTTACCAAAATAAGGGTTAATTGACGTAATTGACATTTTAAAAGTCTTGTGTCAGTTCAACTGGATGGAAACTGCAGAAGAGATTGAAGACCTATTTTTAGGTGATGTGGAGGTATTCTCATTATGATAGTATGGCATAATGTCATCACAATGACAATTCCTTTTCTCATATGTAGAATAATAAGAGCCTATTTGGTGCAACTTCTTACAAGCTTAAGGCTGATGATTTGAAAGTAGAAGCTAAACCCCTTCCTAAGCTTCTCAATAGTCAATTTTTCTTAGCTTAATTTAGCTATTTTTGTCTCATAAGGTGTAAGCAGAAGTTAGTAACACTCTGGCACATAAAGCAGCCCCTATAAGCTGCACCAAACAATGCTTAAATAAATTTCATAATTATGACTGCAATCGCATAATTACAGGTATGCAGGAGACCATCTATAGGCCATGCAAGTCCAACGGGATGCGACTTCCCACTAATCACTAGAGAAGGGCATAATGTTCTTGATGTTATATTTACGTCGCCAATACTAGACCTTGGCATGATATGACTATCACGGTGATCGCCTTAATTTCCTATGTTTTTGTCCATGTTGTATGATATTTTCTTAGAGAACCATTGCTTTTACCCGCAATTGAAGTAGCCAACACTCTTGACAATATTTATGGGGTTGTAGACCATGGAGTCATTTCTAAGATCCCGTAAGTTCCAAGTTGCCTTGTAACCTTCTTCTGTTTTTGCATGGATGACATTTGTTTATGCTTGATGGATAGATAAGAATTTGCAGAAAAATTAACTAAATGAATAAAATTGTGATACTATCCTCAATGGCATGCAGAGGTCACGACTTGGAGTGATGGCAAGTGCTATCCACTCCTAGCGCTATGATGCAAGCCTGAGTCACGAAAATTAGCTTGTCCTAAAAAATGATGGGAATGTCGCCTACCTACTACGTCCCCTAGACCCTATTGTAAGTGGAGCCTTGTACACTAACGTTTACTATCCTCGATGACATGTTTTGGGACATTGCCCCACCTTATCATATGTCATTGCCACATCATTAGGAGCCTCCATGTGCCTACCATCGTTTGAAAGACATAGACCTACAATATGAGGATATGTGTGCCACCATTATCACTCCCTCTATTTGGTAAGCTATGTTATTCCCCGAGTGGAGTTTAAAGCAAATGATGCCTATGGCCTAAAGGTCCACTCTACGTACTTTAAGCCCATAACGTTATGCCCTTAGGGCATTGATGCTTGCCTAGATTAGGAGCAAGGCCTACAAATTTGAGCTGAGTATGGAGTCATTGTGTGGTAGCCTCCATGCTACTTCCATGACACACTCTTATAAGATATTACCCATTGATTAGATACTTCGGATCATATGGCTCAGTGTTCTAAACCGATTGTTCGCTTGGGCTTCTGATGGTCCTACTCATCTAAGTATAACTTAATTTTGTGTTTCTTGTCAGTTTTATTCGATAATTTTCTCCTCCATAGATAGTCAAGTGAATCATCACGATAGCTAAAGGTAGCTGCTTCGGAATGATAAACCATTTTCACATTGTCTACTTCTGACAGTGGTTTTAAAAACCATTCACAACAGGAAATTCAGCTTTAAACGCCGCGATAAGTGTCAAAAACGCCACTAATTCTTTTTGTGACGCTTAGTACCAAACGTCGAGGATGTCGCCGTCGCTATAGCATTGTGACGCTTTAAAAACGTCGTTAATTTTTTCTAGGCGGTGTTTTTCAAAACGCCGCTAAATGTGGTACATAAAGCAAAGTGACGTCATGAGAATTTTTAGCGACGCTTTAGAAACGTCATTAATTTGTTATAGGTGACATTTTTTAAAAACGTCGCTAAATGTGATACAAAACTGCAAAGTGACGTCCTGACAAATTTTAGCGACGTTTCAAAAACGTCGTCATAGCTTTTTTAATTTTTAAAAGGCTATATAATAGGGTTTCGAAAAATGCCATTTTAAACTAAAAAAATAGCAAATATAAACAATAACTCCTATTTCCATTCAAATGAACATTTGTCAAAAGATAAGCCGATTATATAAAAACATGTCAATTAGCAAATACATCGTTAATTAACTTTCTCATTTAATTTAATATCCAATCACCATTAACTAAAAAATAACACATCCACAAATCATATTTTAACATTTGCCAAAAAATAATAGGAAAAAAAAATCAAGACAAAGCCCATGAGTTATGATTTAATTTAATGTCTTGTCCTTGTTACTAAATTCACTAAACTCAACTGATATAGCATAGAATCTGTATTTTTCACTGGTTTAGATACCTGCATCAAAACATGGAAGCCGAATCAGGTAAAGTGCATAAATCAATAACAGTAGAAGTGTTACAACTATAAAACATAAGATTTACATTACAACTCACCATCTGTTGAAGAATGATTTGTACCTAGAAAAATAATTTAAACAAATCAGTCATCTTTGAGGCTTTGAAACAGTAGAAAAAGGCAAAAAAATAACTTATTTCTAGTCATTAACTAATCAACCAATTCATTGCATTCCTCAGCATATACTTCTGAAGCCATGAACTCTGGTGTCCCTAATTAACCTCAAAAAATAGATAAAAACTAACTCAATGATTTCCCTTAATTGTGTCAATCAACCAATCACTCACACAGAAAGTTACATATCATCGCAAAAAGTCATTTTACAACAGATACATATTGTTTCATGGTATGTACTGTTTTAGAGTCCCAAAAGTGAACATTTCAGTGACAATTGGTACGTACTATTTTAGAGTGCACCAATGAAACACAATAATGATTGAGAAAGAAAGTGCATATTGAAGTAATTGAAACAAGAATAAAAAAAGCTGAAGAACTATTCTGAAGTTCAACCGCGTTGAAAAAACAAAACACACTATAATGAATAACAGATATATTGAATCAAATGTTAAATAAAAAAAACACAAACAAAAACAAAACAAAACTGCAAACTTGCCAAAACAAAACTGGAAAAAAAAAACAAACAAACAAACAAAAAAACACTACCTTATATCTAGTAAAAAATTGATAAAATAAAAGGGAAAATCATTGCGTATTATTCATAAATATGTCATAGTTAATGTTCTGCATTCCACTGATCAAGTGACCTCACTTCAACCGTTGTATATTAAACAGAAAAGAATAGCAAATTGAGTCGTATCTATTTCAGATATGATTTAATAGAAGCTCATTTGTACCTAGTTTTCCATAGCTCTCGATGAGATCAATTTTAAACAAAACATTGATGTGGGGAAGTTCCAGATGTAACATTGTTGATAGAGAGAATCAATGCACTCACATACTTTCCTGGATCACTGCAAAGGCGTGCATCTACCAAATGCACAGCCGTCAGCTGCATAAAATGAAGCCCATTTGAATTCCAATAAAAATGGGGCCAAGGTATTAGGTTAGAGTAACTGGGCATGTTAAAATGAATAAGCATCACGTACCCTAAGATCCAAATTCTTTATAAGTGTATCGATGATCTTCTTGGCATTTGAATGGAGGAAAAATAATTCTACTTGGCCAGGGAAGTCAAAGAGAAGATAATGATCTGTATGGAACAATACTGCCACATTTAGTATCTACTAAACAATTAATCTCGATGATCACAAAATTTACAGATTCATCAGATTGAAACAACAGAAATCCTATTTGGTACAAAGTACAGCTCATCACCATAATGAGCAGCACCCTACAGAAAGCTACAAATGATAATAAAACGATTCAATATTTATTCTGGACCTGATAAATATGAAAGCATGACAAGAACTAGAAATCCAGGATGGTCGGTAATCACTTCCAAAAGCAAAAAGTTACAAGTCAATGCCAATGTAGGCCTTGAATACTAACCTTTGAGAAGAGGCTTTAATTTGGACACCAACCAATCAACGTTTTTCTCTAAGTAATCCATACAATACACAAGACCTAGTTGAACATGGTAGAAAAGAATTAGCTGTAAGGACATCTAGCTGGAAATTCTTTGCTCGAATTTAAGTCACTAGTATTTTCAAACATCAGAGATTTCTCAGAGAATAAAAGGCAACACATATGATCAAGTTTATAACCTTTCTCAATTTATTACTATATCTCAAACTGTTGCACAAATTAGCCAATCATACTTCTTTTTCTCTTTCTTTAGGATGCACATAATACTGGAATTAAACAATTAAAGTAAAATTCTTAAGTGACACCTTAAAATAAAAAGAGATACCACAATATATGAAACACATTAAACATAAAGAATTAAGTAATTTAGAATCCACAGTAAGTCCTGCCCTGGCATCTACATAAAGATTCCTTGTGCACATTAAATATTTTGTCATCACCACCATTGATTTTAGGAAGGAGAAAATGTTGGAAATAAACATGATCCAAGTTTACTGAAATTTCAGTTGACATACCGTCATCACCATCTGCTCTCAAACCTCGCACGTTAAGTTCGCCCAAAACTTGTAGATTTGATAAATTCATATACCGATTAATAACAAAAGAATTTATTTGAGACCAAGCCAGTATCCAGTGATATTCATCCTCCATCATCACCTTTTCACATGGAGACAAGTGAAAAGGTCTACAATAACATTATGTGCTCCAACAAAAAAATATTTGAAATAATAAACTAGGCAAATTTTGGAAATCATCCAATAATGGGATTAGTTATGAGGCTGCAAAATGACAGGATGACCTCAGATCTGAGCAGCTCTTAGCACAGATGTATAACATAAACTAGATGGAGAAGAAAACCTAAGCTACACTATGAGTTTGTGGTAGTGAATACGAGATTATGTCGGATTAACAATAAAGTTCGAATTAGAAGTAATGAAAGCACTTTTAAAACAAAATAACAATCAGTAGGCCAAAACAACTCTTTTCAGCATACAGCACCTAGATTATGCAGATAGTGAACTTAAAGTGCATCATTTAAGGATACAACAAGAAATGAGGACAAAAGAGAGTGCTTTGCTTTGGATCTTTAGAATCTTGTCCATCCTGTAAGAAAAATCAGTGAGATGACTGATTGATATCTGACTCAAACTTTAATCTAAGTAAATCAATCTGATTGATATCTGATATTGTAATAATATATTATATAAAAAGGATAAATAGAAAATTTCTTAAGGTAGTACATGGTATAATATTAATATAGATCTTAAAAACCCTTATTTTCATATTACTCTCGGATTGGATAGAACTCAGATCATGGATTTTGGTGAATTCTACTCATGGTATAATGTTGCTCCCAAGTCTCAACCAACCCCTCAAATGGGGCTGATGGCAGAAGCGACCATGAGTAGTTCATTCTAGCCATGAGATCTTAATATCATAGTCTGATTGTCCAAGACAAAATGCATATATATTCCACAATATTTCCAGTTAAAGAAACATTAATAGAGATCAATTAACAGAAACAGGCTTGGATAATGAAAAAGAATTTGTACAGATAGTGGAGTTTTGTCATATTTCCGAGCTCTGGGGGAATGGGCCCAGTCAGCTTGTTACCATGCAGATACCTACAACATCTGATATCAGAATTAGAAAGTTGACAATTAGATCACGGAGTCGAATATACATTTTAAGTATCATGTAATGTAATGATCTTGTTTGTTATTCACATTAAATTAATACAAATATAAATTGATGAATGGAAGTTTAACGGCAATTCAGTAGTTTGTCAAATGTAGCAAAAGACTATCAGCTATTTTCAAAATGACGTATGCATCTTTGAAATGTAAATCGATCAAGAAAATGAAGGAAATACTCATAATTTCTCCGTGTAGGTCAAATTTCCTAGAATATGAGGGATAGGTCCACTCAGCATGTTACAGCTTAAATCTCTGGATCAAAATCAGGATAACGACATAGTTATAAGACAAACAAAACATTGAACGTCGGGTCTATTGAGTTAGTAGTAAAACTCCACAAAGCTCCCCTCAAATAAATTCAATTTTGTGAAAAATACCAGATTGAGGAAACAACAAAATTAAAGCACTTACAACATGGCAAGTGCCTGCATCAGGCCAATCACTAATGGGATTTGTCCTGAGAGTTGATTACCTTGCAAAGATCTGGCATGCAAAATAAAATTCAGAGCATTTTTTTAAGTAAATAAGTCATAAGAAATTAAATCACTATACTTCTATACACATACAATGTAGCGACTTGCAAGAACCCGATATTAGTAGAAATCTCTCCAATCAGCTGATTGTAAAACAAGTCCCTTCCAATCAAAAGAGATTAAACATTCTTGGACTAGACATAGTAGCGTTTATCCAGAATTTGGCGCAATTGCATTAGATGGTATACATACAAGACCTGGAAGGTGGTGCAGTTGCCTATGTTTTGAGGGATGCTACTAATCAAATTATTATTTCTTACATCATTGCATGTTGAAGCAAAATGGTAAAATATATCACAAGATGACCCAAGATACAGAAAACACAAGGAGCGATAAGAAATAGAATGAAGTGATCAATAACTTACAAGTACCACAACCCTGTCAGCTGACACATGTCAGGAGAGAGAGTACCAACCAAATTGTTCCCTCGCAAACCTGTTTTAAGTTAAGAATAAAAACATACAGAGGCACAAATTCGTAAGAATTTCAACTTACAATGTGAAAAACATAGGAAATCATAAAAATGCCAATATGGAAAAGATAACTGAGAAAATGGAAGGAGAAGTGTACTCACAGATATTGCAAAACTTCATTCCAGTATATAAGCCTAGGTATTTCCCCACCAGTTTATTCTGTGCAAGGTCTCTAGAATACATATATTGAAACATATGCATCTCGTCATCATTCTAAAATTAGATAGAAATTAAATGAGAAGAGAATGGAGAAAGAGGACTTACAAGAGTTTTAAATTTGGAATTTGGGACAAGGTTGAGGGAATTGGACCAATTAACTGATTGTTTTTCAAAATTCTGGGGAGACCCATTCCAAAAAAGGGAAGAAAAAAATTATACAAGACAGAATTAGCGCAGTAAGGGACTAAACATGAACATGAGGTTGTCTAGAGACTTATAGGTGTTCTAGTTGTTTCAACTTTGAAACTGAAAACGATATGTCCCCATATAACTCATTGAATGATAGGTCCCTAACAATAACAGATTTCATATCAATTGATGTATAGTAGATAAAATGGATATCACCAGAGAGTAATATAAAACTCAGTGAGCGTGAGCTTCAAATGCTGCAGACTAGTGGCAAAACTGAATTATTGTCTCCAAAAATATAAAACACTTACAAGCTTTTCAAAGAAGAGCAGTCACCAATTTCATCAGGGATCTGTCCTGAGAGGTGATTTCCTCTCATATCACTGTTCAAAAGACAGTGCAATGATAATCATTTCCAAAATAAAAACCCATTAAAGTTGATGTACTGTACAGAAAGAATTTAGTACAAATACAATGACAAATAGAGAAGAAAGAAGGGGGGATACAATACAAGTGGAGAAATTATACATAGAGAGCAGACTTTTAAGGTCGCCAATCGCAGGTGAGATTTCCCCATCAAGATTTAAACCTGAGAGATTGCTACAACGTTCGAATAACCAACCAAAAAGTCAACATTTTGAACACCATGAAGCCCAAAAGAGAAAACGCCAAGGACATCAAAACTGACAAGAATAATAGTATGTGATTTCATAACCATAGTTGAATTGAACCACTATGAAAGGAAGTAAAGTCTTGTAGACTTAAAAAAAAAAAAGAAAAAGGAAAAAGAAATGTTAGGTAATGAAGTGTTAACAAAGGGAAGGGAAACACATACAGTGCAATGACATTGAAGGTGACATTGTTACATGTTACCCCTCTCCACACACAATAGTCTTGGAAATGTTAGGTAATGAAGTGTTAACAAAGGGAAGGGAAACACATACAGTGCAATGACATTGAAGGTAACGCTGTCACGTGCTACCTCTCTCCACACACAGTAGTCTTGGCTATTGGATTTTGGTCAAAATTTCCTGAGAAAGAAGGTGTTGCAAGCTGATTACCATGAGACGCAACTTGCTCGCAGCTGAGGCAGAAGCCTCTTGTAATTCTGGATCCATTACTTCATAACCTTGTATCAATTGAGTATACATAGTTGGAACCTACATATTACAAAAAGCATTACAACAATAACATTACGACAATCCTATGAAATCTGGAATCAACACATTATGGGCCATAAATGCTTCATAGTTTTTTTAAATAAAATATTACTTTGTCCCAAGTGTTCCCTTATGAGAAAAAACCAAACAGAAAAACCCTTAAAAACAGAGTCCCAAACTGGGCCATAAGTAGTGAGAAAATTGGCAAATATAAACAACAATCACTGAACCACACAGAACATAGTATTTTAATTCATGCCATAAAATACTCGACTTACTCCCGTAAACACAATTATAGCATCATCCACCTTAGTCCCATCTTTCAGATATGATTCACGCCATCTCTGCCAGATTGCCCTCACACTAAATTTTGGAATGAACTCAACCTTCAATAAATAAAACCAATCCACTAGAATCAAAAGTGCTACAACAGAATAGGACTTCAAATAAAAGGCAGGACTGTTTTAGCATAAACAAGCAACCTAAGTTTGAAATTGAAAACCAACTTTGTGAAACAACCATGAACATGAAATAGAATGGATTACCGTGGAACCCGTATAGCGAGGGGCAAGTAAAGCATTAAAAAGCCCATGAACATGTACAGAGGGTAAGTTAAGGATTAATCAAATGTGAAATTATTATATAAAAGTTTTTCTGAAACATAGATACAAATCATAAATACACGTTACAAATATTTTAAGAACAGTCAAACCTAGCATTGCTGTAAAAAACTATGTGTGGAAATCAAGGGAGGAAGCAATCTTCAATTTAAAAAATTACCACTCAATGCTAGTGCTACAACACACATTTAACAGATTTACCAAGTGAATAAAAAATTAAGCACCCAAGAGAATGCAATATTCAATTTAAAAAAATTACCATTCTCAACAAGTACTTGGGCTACAGGAGAAGTTAAAGTTTCACCAGGTGAATAAAAAAATTAGACATCAAAAGCATTAGTGGAATCTAAAATCCGAGTAAATACAAAGCATGGTAGTCTCTTCCATGGCTTGGACAGGAGTAAAAAAGCCCCACAAAATATACTTTAAAGGCGATCTCTATCTTTGGAAATGTTTGTCTATAGTTTCCTATTTATGTCTAAAACCCAGGAAAAAAAGGGGCAAAAAAAAAAGAAATCTAACAGAGAACAAGAAATGGAGAACTTCAACTTGAGCTTGGCATATAAACAAACATGTAATAT